TTTGTTGATGGGCACTTGGATTGTTCCCAACTCCTTGCTATTGTGAACAAAGCCACGATAAACAGGGGTGTGCATTCCATGCTGTTTTTAAAAATCTAAAGAACCACTTAAAGAGAGAGAGTGTGTGTGTGTGTGTGTGCGTGTGTGTGTGTGTGTGTGTGTGTGAAAGAATATGAGCAGTTCAGCCTTTTTTAGGTTGGATATGTATGTTATATCACTGGCTTCGCTCACTGGAATCAATGGTTGGGAAGAACCATGATTAAGCGAAGACAAATAGTTCAGGCTCCCAGCTTGGCTAGTCTAACAGCCTGCTCTTAACACCATTCCAGAGTTGGGCCTTCCTACAATAGAAAAAGAATGGGGTATTGGTCATATGCACTCCAAGAAGCTCTACAACACTTCAAGATTCTGTGCAGATTTAGCAAAAAGGCTGCTGGCAACCCAGATTATGTTGTGTTGTGTACCATCAAGTCAGAACTGACCCATAGGTGACCCTCTAGTGGGTTTTCAGAGGTAGTTAATCATGGGAGGAGATTGCTCATACTGCTCCTGTGGAGTGGCTGGTGGGATTTGAACCACCTGCCTTTTGGATTGCAGCACAGTTTCTTGCCAGTAGGCCACCAGAGCTCCCTTAATCCAGATTATAGGGCAATGAAATCTACTCTCTGGTCCCAGTTCTGACCAATCCCACTGTTTTTTTCTTTCCTTTCAAACTGGGAAAGATTTGTTCTCTGGACTATCTCAGTTTGAGGTCAAACCATGACATGAGGACTTTAAGTATTCCTCAAAGTTTTCTATAGCCTTTGGTACAAGATAGGATGTCTGATTCTTAAAACTTGCCCAGGTTAGACCAGTGCCTGAGTGAGCAGGGTGCCTCTAGCTGGAGTAGCATCATCAGCAGGAAGGTAACCTTAACAGAAGGGATTGAAGAGAGTGTGGTTGAGCTGTTTCTCCATGCTTGGAGCTTTCAGCTCCTCCCAGAGCAAAGCCTTTAACATTAGAATTGGTAGAAAGCCTAGGAAGTGGCCTTGATTATTCTTTGTGATCAAGTAGGTTTTCCCTCTGGCCACCAGATGGCACTGAGTCCTCACTGCTTCCAGCCTTAGGCTCATTACTATGCTGTGTGTGCCTAGGATAACGAAGAATGTGCGTTCTGGATAAGATCCCAAGAATGGGGCTGTTGAGGGGCTCAGCTTTAGTGAGTCCAGCTGCTCCTCTAAGAGATAGCCAACCTGAGCCTTAAGAATCAAGTTCTGAGCAGCTTTGTACCCTTCTAAACAAGAAACAGGGGCTCTACAAATAAGATAATCAACACTGGGGACTATATGAGAGTAGGGATGAATTGGAAGCAGAATCTGGACCAGCTGGTGCAGTTTCCTGACTACCTCTGGAACAGCTTGGGACACTCTCACTGATCAGGCTAAGACGCAAACCTCACACTGCAGCAAGAGCCCTGGTGTGTCCTGTACACATCTATCATCTGTTTATTGATTCATTCATTCATCTGGCACCTCTGAAATGCCGGGCACAGTGTTCAATCAGACACAATCTGACCTCAAGGAGGGAAGGAATCATCTCTTTCCAGATGACTCAGGGGAGGCTACAAGGAGACGTTAGTTGATTTGGATTTCAACAGGAAAAGGTCTGGGCAGTTCAGGTAGAGCAAATAATATAGATAGCAAGGGCTCAGAAGTAGGTAGGTCAATGTTCTGTTCAAAGAGAGGATAGTGAGGCATCTAGGGTAGTGTGTGGGTGCCTGGGGTCCTGGCAAGAGAACAGGGGAGGGTTGGACAAGCAGGTAAAGCCTTGACCTAGATGATGATGGGGAACTCCTGAAGGTGCTTCACATAGGAGGAGATGATTGAATTTAATGGACCACTCAGATGCACTGCTAGATGAGACCAGGCGCTGTAATCAAGATCTGAGTTGGGCAAGGCACTGTGTGAAAAGTAAGACAAGGCAAAAAAAATTCAAAACTGAGAGGAAATAAAAAACCATCTTAACAACATCTGCTTGGGCAGTTTTCTCAAGTGGTTAATTCAACAGTAATCACAAACATTGACATTTATTTAACTTAGTACAGGCCAGGTACTGAAGTATTTTAAATACCTTTTTTACTTAATTTCCACAAAAATCCTATGAGATAGGTGCTATTGTTTTGTTCTGTCCAACTAGAACCAACTCACTGCCGATCCCCTAGCAGGTTTTCAGAGGCAGTCAGGAGGAGATTGCATGGAGTGCAGCATGCTTTTGAGTTACCAGTGCCATCTCCTTTCCACTAGGCCATCCCCATTTTATAGATGAGACAACTGAGGCACAGAAGAGATTAAGGTTTTATAGCTAGAAGTAGGGTTTTAATCCAGGCTGTTGGTTTGGAAGCTCATGCTCCAATTACTACACTAGTGCTTATATCTGCCTCTCTTTCCCCTTAGACCATCAGCAGATCCCTGGGAATGGAGGCAGGGCATGGCGTGGGTTATAAGTCCAGTGAATGCCACAAGCTTGAGATGTCCAGAGGGCTGGGCCACTTTTGAGGCATAAGGGAAATGTCCTTCTTAGCTGGAGGAAAAGGAACCAGTTCATGTCCCCTCCCTAGCCTCCTTGTTAGGGCTCACCGCACCACTTTAGAGTGAGTGACAGCTAGCATATCATACCTTCCCTATCTGCCACCACAAGCACACCAACATCCCTCCTTCCCCACAAGAACCACCCAGAAATTAGGTCATGAAAGGGGAGGCTTTATTGACAAAGGAGAAGGCAGAGTTCTGGGCAAACACACAGTAAGAGCCCAAGCAAGGGCAAGGGCTTCCTTGACTGAGGGACCTTGCTCACTCTCACCATCCTGAGTTTTCTAAAATCTTCTTTTCCAACAACTCCAGAAAGCCTGTGGCTACCTGCTGGGCTGTGAATGGTAGCCATGGGTGGGGGAACCCGACCTGGGTTTGATCCCAACCCAACCGTCCTCTATGCCTGGCCAGACCCACAATAAGTCCATGACACTTCCAGGAACCAAGTAAGCCTGGAACCTGATCACAGATCTCCTGATGCCACAGAAACAACCAACCTGGGGACTGTTCTTCCCTGCCCACCTGACCAGCTTGTGGCTGGTCAATCCTGGGACTTCAGACTGGCTGAAGACTCAGCTCTAGGTTCCAGTGCCTCCCACAGCCTCTTGCTGAGTGGGTGAGGTATGAGCCAGTCCTGAGCTGGGACTGGGAGGAACAGGGACAAAAATAACCTGGTACAGGCTCCTGCTGGGGCCAGAAATAGCATAGTGACAGTGCCTTGTAACACCGTGGGTGAGCAGCAGCGGGGGAGGCTGAGCTGCACAGGGCCCAGTCTCACAGGTCCTGTCCTGGCCACAGGGGCCACACCATGTCCACTCTATGTCCACACACATGCTCCCTAGGTCTATGACTTAGGACAGGGCATCTGGAGAGATGCTGAACCTGGGCTTGGCCTTGGCCACAGCCACACTGCGTTTGCGCAGCGGCCCTCGGGCTGAGGTGACAGGTAGAGCATCCAGCAGGCTGCGGTCATCGTCAAGCTGATGGGCTGTGTAGAGTGGTGTAGGAACTTTGATGGTGTTGCCAAACTTGGAGTAGTCCACAGAGTAGCGACCGTCCTCCTCGGCGACAATGGGCACGAAGCGCTGGCCCCACAGGATCTCATCAGCCAGATAGGAAGTGCGAGCCTGGGTGGTGATGCCCGTGGTTTCCACCACACCTTCCAGGATGACAATGATCTCCAGGTCCTGGTGATGGTGCAAGTCACTAGGTGCCAGGTCGTAGAGCGGGCTGTTGGAATCAATAACATGGTAGATGATGAGGGGGGCCACCAAGAAGATGCTGTTGCCCCCCACGCCGTTCTCCATGGGGATGTCCACCTGGTGGAGGGGCACCACTTCTCCCTCAGGGCTGGTGGTCTTGCGCACCACCTGCATGTGGATGGTGGCACTGATGATCATGCTCTTGCGGAGATCGCCCACGCGCAGCATGAAGCAGAGGCGGCCCTGACGCAAGGCGATGACCGCATGCTTGCTGAAGATGAGGGTCTCAGCGCGCCGATGGGCCTGGGCGGTCTTCATGAAGATGCAGCCCAGCATGATGGCGTTGATCATGAGCCCCACGATGTTCTGCAAAATGAGGATGAGGATGGCCAGAGGGCATTCCTCAGTCACCATGCGCCCACCAAAACCAATGGTCACCTGGACCTCGATGGAGAAAAGAAAGGCCGACGAGAAGGAGTGGATGCTGGTGACACAGGGCACAGGGCCACCCTCACCAAGGGCCAAGTCACCGTGAGCAAAAGCAATGAGCCACCAGACCATGGCAAAGAGCAGCCAGCTGCACAGGAAGGACATGGTGAAGATGAGCAGCGTGTGAGGCCACTTAAGGTCCACCAGCGTGGTGAACACATCCTGCAGGAAGCGGCCCTGCTCCCGGATGTTCTTGTGGGCCACGTTGCAGTTGCCCTTCTTGGACACAAAGCGGGCCCTGCGTTCACGGGCACGGTACCGGGGCTCTGCAGGGTCCTCCGCCAGCCGAGTCAGCACATACTCCTCAGGGATGATGCCCTTGCGGGACAACATGGCTCCAGAGGTCCCCTGGGAGGGGATTCCCCCATCGGAGTGCTCCCCCTAACCAGAACCAGCCCCCACCCCCCCCACCCCGCCCCGTGGGGCCAAACTCTAGAGTCCCTTTCCTGGCACCCTCGTACCCTAAGACCACCCAAATCAGTGTTGGCTTCACTTCTGACTTTTATTCACTTCCACCTGGGTTCTGCTTCAATTTGCCAGCCTCACACCTCAGGCCACCTGCCCATGCCTACTGAGCCCTCCACTCTACCTATTGCCCACCTAGTCCTGCATCCTGTCTCAGCACTGCCACCAGCCAGCCACCCAGGGATCTCCCCGTAAGACTCCTCCCTACCTAGCCTTACTTTGCAACCCGCCTCTCCCACCTCCAAATTTAAAACCTCTGGATCCTACCAGCTAATCAAGACCTCACACTAACCCTTCTGTGTTTCCCACCTCCCCTAATCCTAGCCCAGTCCCTCTCTTAGCTCCTGTTACAGACATAGTCTGAGCGCCCCCAGGCTCACCTCCAGGTACGCCCCTATCTCCCCGGGTGGCGCTCCCGCCGCTCTTTGGATGCCCCTCCAGCTCTGCCTCCTGGGGATCCCACACCCTCCGGAACAGCCACCCTTCCCCTTTTCGGCTGCACCCGGGTCCCCTCGCCCCTGCGCGACCTGGCCGGGCTCACGGTGTCGCGGCCGCAGCTCACCCGTCCGCACGCACGCACGCCCGCGCCCCCGCCCCGCAGCCCGGGCCCCTCCCGTCGCCGCGGCACCTGCTCCTGCTCCTCATGCCGCAGCCGCCGCCTCCCTGCCCCCTCCCGCCGCCGGCCGTGCGCGGCCCGCCAGCCCCTCGTCTGTGGGTCTGTCAGCAATGTCGCTCGGCCGAATCAGACCTGGGTGAGCTGGGGATGGGAGATTGCAGGTCGGGGTAAAGCGGGGAGCCGAGTGCAGCTCATTGGCCGCCAGGGGGAGCCCGACCTATTCCGGAGCGGGAGGGGGCGGGGCCAGACCGGGCCACGCCCTCCGCGCGTCCTTCGAGTCGACCTCGAGGTCGCGGAAATTGTGGGGAGGGAACGCAGAGCGAGTCTGCATTCGGTTATTCTCCTACCCTGTCCGCGGAGCGCAGCACGCCGCCCCAGCTTCCTCGCCTTGTTTTCCTACCTGCAATAGGGTCAATACCCGCCTGCTGCACAGCTCTGGGCACTGTGGGTCTCCAGGGAAAGGAGGCACCCGGAGTGTGCAGCGGGTGGGCAAGGAGGGTGGAGGGAGGAGAAAAGACGTCTCAACTCACCACTTCTACTTTTTAGAAGGTGCTCTTAAGTCTTTTCTGGGGCATGGACTCGTTAAAAATCTGATAGAGGAGCGAACTGGGGGTCGGGGGGAGAGGGCTGGCCGGGGAGAGAAGTGCAGCAATGAATTAATGGAAATCCAAATTTTCGGTAAATGTTCATTAAAATTATTAAAAAAAAATTTAAAAAAATCTGATAGAAGCCTTGGCCTTCCTCCAGACAATTATATGTACATTAATAGACGTAGAAGCGTTGTTCAACACTGCTGTTAATGCTAGAAGCGCTGGTCCAGAAGCTGGGGTAGTTCCATCTTTTTCAGTCCCACCCCAGCGTGCTAAAGGAGGTTTGAGTTATCCTGGGATTTTACCCACTAACCACTTACTTATTACCTCCTGAAAGGTGAAGCCTAATTTTTTGCCCCTTAGGTAATGGGAGGAGTCTTGGCAGTCTGATGAGTTAAGTGCTGGACTGCTTGCTAACCGCAAGCCGCTCTTAGGAGAAAGAGGAAGCAATCTGTTCCTTTTAAGATTTACATCCTTGGAAACCTCGTGGAAGGTCACGATTAATCGTTATTATTTCATAACTAATTTGATTTGATTTCTGTCAACAATTTTATCTTACTTGGATCCACAATTAACACCCTTGGTATCAGCAGTAAGGAAATCAGGAGACATATTGCACTAGGGGAGTCTGCAGTTAGGGATCTCTTCAAATTATTGAGGAGTCAGTCTGAGGACTAAAGTGTGTCTGATTCAGGCCATCTGATCACTTGCTATGTATCTGAGAGCTGGACAGTGCATAGGGATAACAGAAGAATTGATGCTTTCGAGTTGTGATGTTGGAAAAGGGTACTTAATATCCTGTGGACTGCCAAAAAACCAAATAAATACGTCTTGGAGAGGGTGCAGGTAGAATGGTCTTTGGAGGCAAGGATGATGAGGCTTTGCCTCACACATTTCAGCCATGTTGGTAGGAGGGGCTTAGAAGGGTAGAAGGTTGGTGAAGGAGAAGATACTCAACCAGGTGAACTGACATGGTGACTGCTGCAATGGGCTTTAGTGTGTCAGCAAGTGTGAAGATGACACAGGATAGGATCAGATCTGCTGTTCACAGGGCAACTATGACTTGATGGCACTTAGTAACAACAGTGAGAGGCACCTGGGTGTATTAGGGTTGGCTTGAGCATCCAGCTCTTGGCTGCAATATGGGTGATGTTTCCATTGCAGGTATCAGTCTAAGTTTGTCCTATGGTTGTACCCTAGATGGGGATCCCCAGTTCTCAGCTGGAAGGGAAACCTGCTATGTCTCTGTGGTTCGAATAGTAATGGCCTGGATACTGGAGATTAGAACCCTTAGGGAGGACCACCTGAAAATGTGGTGATTTGCTGCAGTGGCGACTTGCAACAGGGACTGGAAAGATGAGAAGTTGAGTGTGGGTCACCATGGAGGCAGGGTCTGATTTTCAAATTGAGTTTTTTCTCTCCTGTATCTGTCCTATTGAGATGATGAAGATGACACAGGATGGGGCAGGGTTCAGAACCATTGTTCACAGGGTTGTTAGGAGTTGTGGTTGACATGATGACACCTAACAACAAATACCCATCTGCAGTCAGAATGGGCCCTGCCACTCAAGGTAAACATGATTTTGCGCTCTATAACAGTTTTGTGTTTAGGATGACAAGGGGAAACCAGAATGAGTGGGGGCGGGGACACAGGGAGACACTGTTACAGTTGCTCACAGGCAACCACAGCTGTTATGAGAAAAGGAGCCTTGGAGAGACTCTGGGAGGTTAGGCCACGACGGCAGACACTTCTCTGGTTGAAAAAGGGCATCCTAGATGTTTTGTGGTCTCAAAGGGTAGAAACAGGACCCCAGACAGAAGAGGTAGGGTTTGGGTTCCCTTAGAGAAGAGTAAAGTCTAATAACCAGTGATGATCCACATTTGAGGGGTACCCAAGCCAAGGTTGGTGGATCAAGGATGGTAGGGTCTTAGCCATCAGGCCCTGCCCTTTCCCTCTAATGCCTCACATGTAAAGGATTCCTCTGCTGTTGGGAGGCCCCCAGTGAAGGGAGCTGTCCCTGAGGCCTCCGCTCTTTCTAGTCCTGGAGGGTAAGCCTCTTGTCCATAGGGTTCATCCTCCTACTCTGCTTCATTCATCTTTCCCAAATACTGCATTGGTCAGGTCACTTCCTTGTTCAAAGCACTTTTTCAGTTCCCTTTATCCATAGGTATATGTACCCCAAACTGTTCTGACATTAAGAGTTCTCTGACCTGCTGTTCCAGCCTTCTGCCCTCATCTCCCTTCCACCTCCATGACCAACCAGCACACCTAACTCATTCCCACTATCAGTCCTTGGCTACTGCTACCCTCACCTTCCTCATCTACCCTCCATCTAACTACTCCTCTCTCTGCCCAATGTAAAAAGCTGCCCCTTTCAGGCTTCACAGAACTCTCCCTCCTGAGGTCCTCTGGCACTGGGACATCCAGAGGAATCTATGCTGGGCTCTAGTCCAACTGAACTAGTAAATTATGATCCTAATCTCAAAGCCTAGAGGGATGACTTATGGCCAATAGTGAATGATAAAGTGATACGTGAACTGCCATTTTTTTGGTTGAGGGAAAGTGTGTACTCCTGTTTCATGATGCACATAGTCCGAGGACTGCTGTTGTTTTGGTCTTCCCAGTGTCTGGGTCTAGTATTTCCAGCCATCACCTGACCAACTTGTGGGATATGCACATTGCTCGCCCTGTGAAGAACTACCCTTCTCTCACTCTTAAGTATCTCTGCTTGGGGAACTATCTCAGTGGTTACAAACTGTGTAGTGGTAGGGATGTGACCCCTGTTGGTCCACTGAAATTCACATCTGAAATTTCTGCTGAGACATTTGGGGAAGGATATCTTTTTTTCTCTTGGGCTACTAATGGGACAAAATGTACTAATGTGACTGATCTACAAGTGGCCACTTGTCATTGGGGAAAGTAAAACATGGAACTCAGAAATGAGGACACATCCTACCACTAACCCTGGATCTAGCCATGCTTTAAGTAGTGCACCTCCTGGCAGTTTCAGTCATCTGAGACAATAAAGACCAGTTTTTGTTTGGGTCACTTTATACTGGGTTCTTGCCATCTGCAGCTGAATTACTGTTAACCCAGGTACCCCCAGGCCCCATCATTTTAACCCAAGAGTAAAAATGAGGACTGGGAAGTGGATGGTGCTGATGAGGCCTGACGCCTTATTATTTGATGAGATCTTTGTAAAACCCTATAGCTTTCACTGCATAGAGAAAGAAATGCACTTTTGCCCAAGGTCACACAGCTTCTAAGTAGGCCCAATACCAAAGCTAGGTTAGTCCTCGTGTACTCATGGTTTGCCCCTTACTCCCGCCCACCAGATTTGGGCCTCTGGTAAGAAAGAATCTCTTTATTTACAAGTGATTTACAGTTAGAAAACCCAGTTGAGAAGTGGGAGAGGATAGGAGTTTGGTGGCTGGCAAGTCACTTGTCTGCGCGAACAAAAGAGGCGAAGACACTGTCACTCCGGCTGAGCAATTTTTCTGGCTTGTCGAACTCAAGGATGGCACCCCGCTTCAGGACAATCACCAGGTCTGCGCTCAGGATGGTGTGCACGCGGTGCTGGGTGGTGGGAGAGCGGATGAGGTGGTAGGTCGGGGGAAGGGGAGGTGGGCAGCTGAAAGGCATCCCTACATCCTTCAGGGGGAGGTGATTACTGGCCAGCCTGATATCAGCTCTAACTCCCCTACCCAGAGATGACCAGGCCCTCTGTACCCCCAATTCTACCATTTTCTTGTTAAGTCTGTTTTGCTCCCACATTTAAGCCTCAAGATCCTGATTTTCCCTTGACATCCCCCTCCCAATTC